GTTTTAGATATATACATAGATAATTGGTGTTTTCTCTTTGTATATCACAATAAGATGATATACTTCATATAGAATATCAACAAAGAATATATTACTTCGAATGTCTATTATAAAAATGAAGAAGGCTACCAATGAAAATAAGTTTATACATAGTTTTAAAAAAAAGACAAATGATGTCAAGGCATAACATATTATCACGCACTATTCTAAATGAAGGACAAGTTGATTCATCTTATTGATCTTCACTCATGTCACAAAATTCGGTTCACTCTACCTTAATTTAGTCAAAATGATTTTAATATTTGTGTCGATCTTAACTTAATAGTCTTGAAAAAAAAGTCTATTTAATCTTGATTTGAATCTAACGAAGCTATTCTATTATTTTGATAGAATCTTGAAATATCAAATTGAAAATTCAAACAATCTAAATTTTCTTTCAATTACCTTGATTGCAACCAAAGGTGCACTCATTTTTTTTTCCATACATGCCAACTCTGAATTCATATTTATACCATATGTATTATGTGATGGTAATATTCAACTATTTGCCAAATATAATTCTGAGATTGAAATAGTTTGCAGAATGCTAAAAAGATCTATGTCGTATGAATGAAGCAGGAAATTAAACTACGTGATCAGCTTTTCAAAATAGTAAATTCTCTCTGTCACTATTTTCTTCAGAAAAAAAAGAATGACATCCGATGCAAAAAAATGATCACACAAAACATTGATCTGTATACTGTCATTGATGAGCACATCCTGAAAAAAAATTATTCTTTTATAATTCAATAGAAATTATTCTCTTGTTTCGAATTATATATGATTTATTTTTGTCGTACATTTATATAGAAAATAATGCGAAAAGAAAGAGAAATACGCGCATAATAAAATTACAATTTTTATTGGGAATTCATATAAAATGATTATATGAATGACAGTTAATTTCATGCTTGTTGATTCGGTTTCTATGAATTATTGAAAACGATCTTACCAAGCAATAGACAATTTGAACTAACAACTGCTATCTTTTTGAAGAATTCCATGTAAAAATTGTGAAATTTTTTATGCAAGTATTTTCGTTTTTTCTTGCAACATTTTACTTATGCATATTTGGAAACAACAAGTTATATACATTTCGAAAGAACTAAAAAGAAATTTCCTTTATTGTTTTGAACATGCCTATTGAAGATATATAGCAGTTAACATTTTGTCTATTCAATTTGCTGAAAAGTACAGACTTATTTTCTAGTTGTCTCTCTCATTTTGCACATAATTTAACTCATGAATATTAGACAAAAATTAGTTCTATACAATTTGAAAGAAAGAAAATTTTCTTTGAAAATACTTGTATAAAAACAAGATGATATACGATTCGACATTTTGTGTCATCGTTTTTGCATTGTAGATTATATTTTCTATGTTTTATTCAATCATAGGCTCTATCTTAATCGAGCTTAGACAATACTTAATAGTATCTATTACACTAGAGATATTCTCTTTCTATTCAACAAACTCTTATAATCTCGAGCTGATGTTTAATATTTAATTATGCATAACGATCTTTAGACTGTAATATATTGTTTTTATATTTATCGTATAATAGCTATCAATCCTAAATTATGAATGGCAAGATTTTTCTTTTATCATAAATCAACATTTCTAATTTATATATTGTTTTTTCGATTGTGAAAACAAATCATTAAGTAAATCGAATATTTGCTTTGATAAATGACAAAAATATATCAAGATAGTATGTCAATACATTAATATGCAGTTAAATATACTCAATAATAATTTTATTGAAACACGGCAAAAGATACAAAAAAACTCATTTTTTTTTGTTATATTATGTCCATCAAAAATGGAATTACTAACACGCACAAACAAACTAAATCTGCAATTATCCATTTTTAAATTAAAAAAAAAAAAAAAAAAGAAAAAATTAATTATTTTATAATTATATACCTGATTAAGAAAAATATTCTTTTTATTCGTTATTGAGATTCTTTTCATATTATCGATTGATCAATAATCTTGTTTAATATTCGATAAGAAAATTATATTAAATAATTTTTTATTCCAATTAGATCATTAGCATTTTATTTATCGTCGTTGACATGTAATCGGAAGTTTGAAATATAATTATACTTACTAGTAATATTAAAATGATACTTCATATGAAATATTACTCATTCGGAGATAGTAAAATAAACGTCTATCTATTCTTATATGCTAAAGAAAAAGACATTTTTAGATGAGATCGTTTCAAAATATATATATATATATATACATGAACAAATAGCAATGTGATCGATAATTTAATTTTTTTTTTCGGGTAACTGCTTTTCTACTCTACTTTCTATTTTCTTATGTTCTATTATCGACGATGAATGACAATGATTATTATCGGAAGAAAGACATCATCAGCATAGTCACGTACATAAACAACAAGACATATCATATTTCTTGTCTGTGTTCTGTCGATCTATCTATCAATTATTTCTCATATCTATAGTACTTCTTTCTAGTCGTTGAGTACTCAATAGGTCAGAAGAATTTCTATCAATTATATTTTCTTATTGATTCTGCATCTCTTTTGTCTAACATATAATAATAAGAGCAGTAAAAGAAAGAACTTAAAAGTCACTAGGGAAATCCGTGAGTAAAAAGTCCAGAAACTTCAAGGATTTTTATATGTTACAATAGAACAAAAAAAAATATTTAGAAAATCTCAGAAAATTATCCATTTATTAAATGTTACTCGTAATCTAGATATGATATGTTATGTTAAAGTTTTATCTTTTATTTGCCTATTTGAATAAGTCATTACTTCTATTTATATCCTGATAAATTTATCATCATGATTTATAATAAAACGTATATAGTCTTTCACAAACTTCTATTAATTTAATATAGATAATGTTAGATAAGACATCGACGAGCTTGGAGTAGGCGCATGTATGAAATCAATATATAACTATAGAAAGAGTCTTTTGGAGAGATGATTATAAACACTTCTATTATAAACATAAGAGGCAATTATATTCGCAAAAGGTTAATTCTTGGAAACCACCGAGAATGAAAATATATATAAATAAATGAATTGGTTTTCCAGTAGAACATAAAATGATGAATGTTAAATTTCGTAGCACAAAAAAAAAATTAATTTCTACAACATTAAGTATCTGTTCTTTTTGTGGTATACGCTTCTTTGATTGGGTCAATCCACATACTTTTGCCTACATTCTAACATGAAGAGAATCTGTACTGAGTAGTCTAGAAAATAAGAAAATTAATTTTGACTAATGAACAGTTGTCTGTGTATGAGTTAATATTCTTCAGTTACAAAATAGAGTTTTCATCGAATGATGATTCCTATTCCCGATATATTTTGAACGAAACAAAAACAAGACTTCACTAGAAATATTGAGTCACGTAATCATATTCTTGTCTTCAAATGAGTATGAGTCTTAATCGTTTAGTGGCATAGTGTTTACTCAATTAATAATTATGAACAACCTATTAAAAGTCATACCATGGTTTGCTTCGATTTGAACACTAGTTTTTCACTATGAAGGATAAGTTTTATAGTGCAAGCTATGTAAATATTAATAAGAATATCAAAAAATTAGCTGAAATTTGCCATGTATACAGTTAACCATAGAGTGAATATGGATTGAATAGTCTCATATCTGGATCCAACCTAGTAATTAATAAGGTCTTGATATTTCGAAATATTTTTAATTTTTCAAATTGGTTATTTATGTAAAAGCATACGAGTAAAAATCAGTTCGATTGTGATTCAGCAATTTATTGCATTTGAGAACAGGTCAGAGAAATGGAAAACAAGATTGTTTTACTACAAGAATTCGTTTTTTAACGAAAATTCATCTGCAAATGTTGATGAACCATATGATAAAAGAATGGAATGCATGAAGAAGAAAATGAATTATCAAAAAGGTAAACATGTATTATTGTAATGGCAAAAGTATTCATGTATGTATCCACAATAATGAGGTTTGACATCAACACTACGTTCCATTCCAGCACCATCAGAAATAGGCAAACATATACTTAGCGAAATTTATCGAATTTTAGAAGCAGAAAGACACCAAGTCAGTCTTGAATCACTTGCTTTTTTTGTTACTGTTTATGGGAGAAAACAAATATTACGCTTTTTTTTTATATAAAATAAAAGTTTGAAAACCGTATTGTGACTGTGAAAGTAATTGCTGGATGTCGATTAGCTCCGGTAGAGGGCATCGGGTATAGCCATTCGGTTTTTTTTTATAAAATGATCGGTTCCGGTTGCGAAAAGTCGTACCCACGCAAGATACTAGTGACTATGATGTTCGACATGTATTCGCATGATACTATGTGCAAACCTCAGTGCCACGAGTCATGGAATGATCTTGTACAAAGCCACTAACGGCTATTCATCTCAGATCATCCATCCGATTGCATGCTGACTATTCCAAAAAGCAACAGCTAGTCATTGTCGTAGGAAAAATATTGGGTCATTGAGAGTGCCACAGGAAATAGGTGAACGGCAGATGTATTGTTCCTCATATGACTTAATTATGGCATTGAATATTGATTAGACAAAAAAATCGAAAATAATAAAACATTGCTAACGATAATACAAGTATATCACTGTTTACATAAATCTGTTAACACAGATTAAGTAATGTCAACCAAATTGATAAAACACAAAAGAAAAAATACCAATTATCTTTTTTTTCTATATATATAAGACGAAAATTTGAATAAATACAATCAAAGTACCACAAACATAAACTTACAATAAATTAAAAATTCAAAGAAAAAAATATATATATGCAGTTTACAAACAACATGAATATGTAAAATCGAATAAATACGAATAAATAAAAGAGAGGGGGAGAGAGAGAGAGAGATCACCGAACAACCTATTCACCAACACAAAATAAACAAAAACAAACATTCAAATCTCACTCAGTTCATAAGGATTATTTATAATTTTATTGTTTATCATCAAGTTCTCCTTCATCAGAATTAACTGTTTCTAGAATACTTACTGTACGTGATAAATATTTTTCACTTGATGAACGTGTTGTATGATGACCAGAATCACTTTGTATACGCTTTCGTGCACGTGGTGTTATTAATGATGATTGACGCGATAATTGAGACGTAGTTCTTTTTGGATAATATAATTTTGCATCAGATACCATACGAACAAACATTGGACGTGGTCGTTTATCTCTAAGTAAATTTGATATTGGCTTTTCAAATGTAACACGATGAGGTGGTGTTATCGTTGTTATTGTATGTGCCTACATTAGTAAAAAAAAATGTTTTTTTTTTCAGAAAAAGTGAACAAAAATAATTTCACTCCTTTTACTCGAACTTTTGTTTCTGGATAATTTATTGGAGTAACTGATGTTTCTGGTAATGCTTCAGAATTAATTGTTTCATCTGATTTAGTTGTATCATATTCAGTGTTATTAATAGTAGCTGACTGTTTTGCTGCTAAATCAAGTGAATCATTTGATGATGATTGTCGTCCACCACGCTGAGCACGATATTCTGCAAGAATATCATCGGCATGTTCTTGAATTATACTAAATGCTATCTGCATATCCTCATCATTAGTATGTTTAGCACAAACAGCAAAACGAATTATATAAATATCATTAACCATGGATGGAACCATATGAATAAGACCCGAATCATTTAGTGATAAAAGTAACTTTTGACTTAATTTATTACTACCCTAAAAGAAAATATCATTCTTTTACAAACTTATTAGACACAAATTTAGAGAATTAAAAATTATATATATGTCTACGAAAAGCATTTCAGTGTATTTTTTGTTTCATCGATAGAGAAGTACAAAAAGGTTTCAGTCTCGATGAGACTGTTACTATTCCAATAGAAAATTTGTATTGGATTTCGGTATTCTCTTCAAGTGCATGATGCAATAGTAGTTTCAATATCCCTGTACTTAAACATTTTTTGTCATTGGTTATTTTTTTGTGGTGTGAACTCTTTAGTTTTGTTGTTGTACTTGTTTATATTTGAAAAAAGAAACGCTATTAAATCAAGATTATCCTGAGGTCGTTAGGATTGAGCGGGATGGTCGATAATTCAGGAGGTTAAATGGAAGATTTTTTTCTAAAATTCACCAGAATTACTGAGGGGTTGAGAGTTCTTGTGGAAATTTGTGGGTCAAAAAATGTTGAAACTTTGGTGGAGAAACACAATTTAGTTTAAAATGACTAAACATTAAAAGATATATTTTTGAAAAAAAAAATTGAATTACCTTTAAACGAAAACAAACAAGACCTAATGTAACATCACCAATAATTTCAAAGCGACTATCTGTGCTTATTAATGATTCGAATACTTTTGCTAAACGACAATGCTAAGAAAAAAAAAAAGAATAAAAATAAAAAAACAAATTCTTCTATCTTCAAAATAAATACTTCTCGAATGTAATGACGAAGACCTTCAATACCATAACTACGAATTGTAAACCAAAGTTTAAGTGAACGAAATCGACGACTTAATGCAACACCCCAATGCTATATTAAATTATAAAATATTACAAAAAATTCTTTACTAAAACAATCTATTTACACGATAATCAACTGCTTTTTGTGCATGTTTATGTTGAAGATACAGTGGATCAACAGACATTGCATTAATCAACGCAAATTTATCTCGAACCCTAGCAATAAACATAGTTTTTCTCACAGAATCAAAAGCACAACAAACTTTCTAACTTACCAAAAACATGAACAATCAAAATTCATCAATAACCATTTATTTGGATTTGTGTTAAATGAATCAGCATACTAAAAACAAAAATGAAAACGATAAAAAAAAACTAGTTAGCACAATCTGCTCACGATTAAAATATGAAACATAATATAGTTGCTGTTGCTAATCACAAAGCAATTGTTTCATTCTATGTATTTTGAGATATATTTCTGCATCATCTTTTTACTTAGTCCTTCAGAAATGCAATACGGAAGTAGTTTATATATTATAACAAGACGTTATTGATAAATGATCTGTGATCGTATATCAATAATGTCTCTCACAATCTGTGATGATCTCCGGCAAGCACCCCTCAGGAATGAGATAAGACATAGGTTCAAATCTGTACCCCTATGGTTCAAACACTTCTTTAAGATAATGTTTTACAAAATCAATTTTTGTATTAGAAAATTTTCTATTTCTTACTTGTAAACCTTTCATTATATAACGATATTCTTCACAAATACAAGCACTACCAGCATAGGCACCATCAACATGAAACCAAAGTTTTTCACGTTGACATATTTCACCAATTTCTTCTAGATTATCATATGAACAACAAGATGTTGTTCCTAATGTACCCGAAACCTAATATGAAATAAAAAAAATTTTTGAAAATGAAATCGACTACAAATAAATAATAAACCAAAAATGGTATTAATCCTTTTTCTTTATCAGCTCGAATACATTCTTCTAATGTTTTGCCACGTAATGAAAAATGTTCATCAACAGCTAATTGTCGAACACGAACCATAGCAATTAAACCTGCTTTTTCTACACATGAATGTGCCTAAAAAGACCAAATATTTTGTTTTTCTTTGGAGAAATAAAGTCTTTTTATATATCATACAAGTTTTGATGTGTAACATACAAGTCGAGCTAAAATTTGTCCATCTTCCATTAATGGATCTGCTTGACGTTTGCTAGTTATTTTCTTTGTGCGTGCAGCTAACATTGCAACCAGAATACATTCACTTGCCGAACCCTATTGAAGCAAAACAAATAAAGATAATTGTGTTTATTTATTATTTTTATATTTTTTATGTTACTCTGTTCCACTAACAAAACAGTTTCTTCTACTAGTAGACAATTTTTAAAACGAGAAATTGTTGAATCAAAACAAATGAATTTTACTACAATCAAAACTTAGCTACATCAATTCGTTTAATATAATTAAGTTTTAGATTGTGGTAAAAATTTTTTAATAATAAAAAAAGAAAAAACCGTTGAAAACTTCTTCGAATCGATTTAAAAATTTGCAATGAATCAAGAAAAAAAGGCCCACATAGTCGTTAATATCTGAATGCAGAGCAGTTTATGGGTTTTTCTTTCTCATGAAAAAAAAAAAACGAAACTTCTAGTCGCGTATCTTATGAAAAATAACTATTCTGAACTGAGCTATAAATATTAATAATGAAATATTTCTTACAAGAAGAACACCACCACCAATATGTCGAGTTTGCTTTTGTCCATGATTATTCTCTCCATTACTAATCGAATCATGTAAATCATCGTCTCTTGATTCTTCATCACTTTCTAAACATGATTCTTCATCATCTTCATCATCATCATCACTATCTTTGTTATCACGATTCGGATCAAATGGAAGAAAACCAACAGGTAATGCCATCATACGACCTAATAAAAAAAAAATAACTTTGTCATGTAAAATGTCACGTCAATAATCATCCTTCTTTTCATACCAATCCAATCAAGCATAATTGTTTCAAGTTCAGTACATGCTGGACTTGCTGCCCAAGAGAAACCAACAATTCCAAGACCAGCTGAAAGCATTTCACCAAGTATTGATGGATAACTATTACCAGCTGGAAAATAAGCATGAAAACGTGGATGTTGCCAATGTGTTATACCAGGCATAATTGCTCGTTCAACATCTTTCATAATATCATCCCATTTTTCACTTTTCTCTGGTGCATATTTTGGTAACATTGGTCGTAAATAACCTGGTTCAATTTCAGGTGTAACACGACGTTCACTAATACAAATTGAAAAGAAAGACGCATTAGTTTCTATCTGAGAATTTTTATTTTTACTTAATATGTTTAAGATAATCAGCTATATAATCAACCATTTCTTTTCCTCGACGACGAAATTCTGCATCATCCATTCCCGGTACCAATGATATTGGTTCATAATGAACTTGAGATGAATTTCGTACAAGATCAGGTTGTAGATCATTATTTCGTTCTTCAATTTTACTATTCAAAAAAAACAAAACAAATAAAATGAAACAGTTGATAGGAAAAAAAAAGATTCATAATAATAAACAAAGAAATAAAATAACCATTTTCTAATAAAACATCGTCTTTGTATAGGCAAATGATGTTGATGATTATCATGACATGATATAGACAGTGATACTTGTGTAACTTCAATCATATTGTTTATTTTGATATATGTGCAACAAAGGAAATGATTTTTAAAAATCAATAACAGATTGTTGCACATCTGGATGATATTTTTCTCATTAGTTAAATTCTAGTACAAATGATAAGTTCTTACTTTTGTTGTTTTGTTAAATCACTTGTATTAGAAATTCGATTATCGCTTGTTTTAATTGATATTTGACGAGAAATTCGAGATGCACTACGTCGTTGATTATTTGATGAACTGTTTGTTGTCATTGGAACTATACGATCAAAAAATGTTGATAATGGTAATGATGAACTTATCTCAGGTATTGATGATGTATTGGATGACGTTGAAGTGTTTGAATGAAATAAATTTGTTAATTTATTATACAATGCTCCAAAGCTTCTATCCATATTAAGATATATGTTGATAAAATGAATGAATCAATCTAATGTTGATTGGATTGCTTCTTCGATGTCGTTTTTTCTTTTCTCTTTGTCGTTCATCAAATATCCTGACTTAGCAATAAGCAACTCAAGTTCTTTTTTCTCACACTCTCTCTATCATCGTATGCTTGCCTACACACTTGAACATTTCTTTCTTGTGACAACAATGAAAATGAGGGCTTATTATAGAAATAAAAAATCAGAAAATAAAAAAAAACGATTAAAGTTCGTGCTAATTTTTTTTCTTCTTGTTGTTTCATAATGACGTAAGAGTAAAGGAAAAAAAAGAAATTATATTTTAAAATAACACGTCGAATAAATGTGTTACGATTGTATGAGAAAGAAGTGCTTGTTTTTGTTTCTAATCAAGATACACAATAATGAACTTAGTTTCTCTTTCATAAATTTAGACTCCGGTAAACGACATAGTGATGAACAAATAGACAACTTCTATAAGGCATACACGTTGGATAATATTAGATCGGAAGCATTTCTTTATTTGTCCAACAACTTTCACGCCCACTCTATATCAAAGATGTTCAGCTTGCTTTTATATATGTGTACGGCATTCATTAATTGGTTCTTAAACGAACAACTTCCTGTGTATGTGTGTTGTCGAATACGGAAATAACTTGTTCAATCGATAAAAAAATGACGTGAAAAATAAAAGAAAAACAACAATGCCAATCCAATCAAATTTTTTATCGATTTATTGTGAAACAAAAAAAAAATAAAGAAATCATATAAGAAACAACGTATTATTCTATATATAGAAGTCTATATATATATGTACAATTTGTCGGGATATTTCATCAAGGTTTAAATAGACTAACTGAATTTCGTTTACGTCTTTGTCGAGCAAAGGCATACATCATTCCTAGAACAGATGAAGGTGAAAATGATGTTTTTGTTTCATTATTTAAAGGTGATTCTATCGATTTGTTATCATCAATAGTTGGTACTAATGGAAAAATATTTTCTTCCGTTTGTGGTAGAAGTCTAGAAAAAAGAAAAAGAACAAAGACATATTCACAATAAATCATCAAAGATAAAAAACAAAATGATTTATAATTCATTTAAAACAACATACTTGAAAATTTTATTATTATCTAAAAATTGTCTTGGATCATTTGCATCTGTTCGATTTGAATCATCTTTAATATCTGAAAAGATTTTTGCATTATAAAGTGATTGAAGCATTGTAATTGCTTGTGTTCTAATAGATATGAAATAAATGTTTTTATTTTATTTCAAATAAAATTTTTCGTTACCGTGTAACCGACGAACTATTAGAATTTGATGATTGGTGTTGTAATATATCAACCATACATGTTAAAGCATCTGATGATGAAAAACAATTTTGATATGTTTTAAAAAAATGACGTTTTCTTTTTAATTTTATTGTTGAACGAAAATTTTGAACAAGATTATTCCACTAAAATATTTCAAACATAAATATCGATATATATGTGTAAAAAAAAAACAAAAATGAAAAATACCATTTTTGTTGCTCGAAATTGTGGTGTTTTAGGTTTTTCATACATAGTTAGTCCAGTGCACACGATTTTCTGTTTTGTTCAAACTGACTGAATAATAAATGACTAAACAAAGACGTGCGTTCTGCACGTTCTATTTTTAAGCCATTGAATTAATTGCACATGTGAGGTCACTATATACATGTAGAAGACCGTTATCCTATGTCATCTTAGCCTTTTTGTGTAATATTAATCGATATAATGCCTATGGCATTGAATTTCAGCTAGGTTTTCTAAAATTTCAATTTATTATAGCTTCTTCATTTTGATGGATTTCCGTAGTTTTGTCATCCAAATCAATCGTTAAATAGGTTGTACTTAGTGTGATGAATTGTGTAGTAGAATCAAAGAATTAATGAAATTGCAGTATGGCATCTGTTGAAATATTTGGATATTCATTTTAATACTTTTTTTGTAAAACCAAGTTGTTACTGTAATGGAGAGAACAACATTGAGTGAATGAGAGAAGTTCTACAAATGATTAATTGCTATTGAATCGACACTATGTGCATTATGTTGGCTTTAATGAGTTATGAGTGTCCTGAGAAGATTTCGAGAGTTTAGATCATTGCTGTCGAGATAATATATTTTTAGGATACTTTTTAATATAATGTCACAGTTCCTCTCAGGAATTCAAGGGAAAATGGTTTTCAAATTTCGATTTAAAACTTTGTACAGAGACAGACTTTTGTAAGAAAATTTTATTATAAAAATTTCAGTTATTGTCGGTGCTTCTTTCTTGAAATGAGAACATTGGATCTGTAATGTAAAGGGTGTCCCGGAAGTTCTGAAACGATTTTAAAATTCATCGTTCTCAAATTCAACAAACGCAAACTTCTTTAAAGTTTGACATATTATTGCACATATGTAGTGCCACATAACTACAAAGTTTGAGGTCTATAGGTTCTACTATAGAGAAGAATCTGTAACAATACTATGATGTACTATTTGTAAAATTTTCCTGCATTCCGGGTCTGCCAAAATACCTATATTTCGGCTTAGGTAGATGATAAAATCTTGAATTTTTTTTTCAAAAGATGCGCCGTGAAAAGCTCTACAAAAATTGTAATAACAAATCCCTATTGACTTGTGTTAACGGTTTCTGTCATATACAAAATGAAAAGCCTGCATGATAGTACTACTTCTCACCACATTGTGCGTAATAAAAAATGTTTCGAAGACCTTTTTGTTTTGCATGTATCTCAGCTTGAGAAAATGATAAAATCTTGATTTCTTTTTCAAAAGATGAACCGTCGAAAGCTCTACAAAAGCTGTATAAACAAATTCCCATTCGGAAGCAAAAAAGTCTTCCAAACCTTTTTTTATTACGCACAATATGGTGAGAAGTAGCACTACCGTGTAGGTTTTTCATTTTGAGTATGGCAGAAACTATTAACACAAGTTAATAGGGATTTGTTATTGCACTTTTTTTAGAGCTTTTCACGGTGCATCTTTTAAAGAAAAATTCAAGATTTTATCATTTACCTAAGCCAAGATATAGACGAAATAAAAAAATGTTGCATACCTCGAAGATGACCAGGAAAATTTAAAAAATAGTACATGTCAGTGTTGTTATGCTATTTCATCCATAGTATAACTTATAGATCTCAAACTTTGTAGTCAATTAGTACTATATATGTACAACAATCTACCAAAGTTTCAACGAATTTGCTTTTGTAGAATGCGAGAACGGTGAATTTTAAAATCGTTTCAGAACTTCCGGGACACCCTTTATATGAGCAACGACAAAAACATACTCTTACCATAGCAGTATCTAAGGATAGGAATAACAAAAAACTGAAACATTGGTAATAAACTATTCCATCTAAGGTAAATCTTAGCGAAAAGTTTAAAATCGAAATTCGAAAAATCATTTTGTCTAGTAGTTTTGATGGGACCACAGGAGTATATTTAAAAAAATATCTTAAAACTGCAGTATCTAAGCAACAATAAGCTAAGTGTCGGAATAATTCTTACAATATTCGTAGCTCATTAGGACTTACATGATGTATATTGTCTCAACTCAAAAACGATTAATCATTTGGGAAACTTCATTCGTAAGATCTATCTCTTAATGTTAGCCAGATGTCTCTTACGAGAGAACCCATTTGACTAATAATCTCCATTAGAACTTACATTTTGGTCATAGGCAGGACTCATAGTGTAGATAAGAATTCTGAAAGGGTTTGTGCCTTTCTTCCCTAGTTATGGTCATTTTATTGAACTTTCAGTTTATTGCAGAATACCATTATCAGCTCAAACGGATGATTTCTTTTTATTATATGCCTAAAAATTGACATATTTTTGTAGCTCTTGTACGAAAATAACGTTTTTGGCAAACGTGTTATCTCAGAAGGAAAGCATTCATTTGAGCTAAAATTTTCAGGATACCATAAGAATCATGAGAGAATTTCAGACCAAAACTACTTGTTGCGATTTTTCTCATGACATTCTGTAGTAGGCCGAAAGCTCAGTAAAATGACCATAACTCGAGGAGAAAAGCTTAACAGCAGGAACCCCTTCAAAACTTTTATCCACACTATGAGTCCCACCTATGAGCAAAGTATGAACTTAAACATAGATTATCAGTTAGATAGGTTTCTTTGTTGGTCATCAATTGAGAACCTCAATGAAAAAACAAAATATTGTCAAATATTTTTCTAAAAATAAGTTTTTCATCATTTGCTTTTCTCAATATATCAGCGAACAATCAATCAATTTATTCTCTTAGTACGTGATTTTGTGATGAATACTTGATATTAAAAAAACAGTGGCGTTACTTGTTTATTTTTCCATTCAATATTTTTGTGATCGATTTTGTTTATCGATCTTGAAAATGTAAACAAAAATATTCTTCAAGTGTTCGAGCATTGTCACGAGAAATGAAATAGGAAATTCTAATACATAATTATTAGTTTCAATAAATGTTGAAATCTATAATATCTAACTGTAGAATATGAAAAATTAGTATCAACAGTCATAGTTACACATGAGAGAAGAATCAGAAATCGATTCATTTGAAGATCAATTACTTTATATCTTAGAGTGAATACATTCTTTAAATATATATATGTTTACAAGCATTTTATCTTAGAAAAATAAACAATTTAGTGTAGAATCGTAAATAGAATAAGAAATAGTTAGGAACTATATGTAACGCCTATATTGTAACATTCCCATTAAGTCCAAAATAGAACTAACAGAAAAGAAAAATATCTGATAAAGAATTATCACAGAATAGTAATAGAGCAAAAACTATATCGTTGCCGACGAATGTCAATCGTGACCTATTGAGTACATATAGACTCGAGTCATATATAATCTTAATCAGTTCTATCTCTAAAGACACACATAACATCAAGACAGAACACAAATAAATAAAATGCATGAGTAACATATAACAACTGTTGGTTCGCGCTATCATTGGAACAAACTAATGTAATGAAGTTATATAAAGAAAATACGAAGCTAATTATACGACATTGAATGATGAATATTTAGACGACATAAAAAACCTAGAACTATAACTAATGTTTTGTACAAATAGTTTATAAGTTTTTTTTGTTCTTTGCTGTCTCTTTTTTACTTGTGTATTGTGCAACGATGGATAGAATAAAAGAATCTTCATTATGTATTACTGTCTTCTATAGTTCAATTGAGCTTGACATTAAATATCAGTGTCTAACAAGAAAATGTTTTCAATTGATCTATCTCATTTTTACCAAATGCAAACGGATTGTGGATTATCGACTATGCTGATTCCGAATACGACTATGAGAAATTCTCTTAGATCTTTATGTGCTGATCTTCTAGAAAATCGATTTTCCAGACTAACAAACTTTTCGCCAACGCATCTTCTTTTATATGTTCAGATTATAGAGCATATTGAATTGCCTCGGAGACAGTAACTTTTTCTATTCCAAATCGTTTTTGCAGAAAATACAATCATATTAATCTATACCATAGACATACGTATATCAAAATTTTTATTTGAAAATCTTCAAGAAAATATTATTTCACATATTATTTGTTTTTGAAAGGTGGAACGATTATTGTCTTGTATACAACTGGATATCCTCTCTAGTATGAGTAGACCAAAAACGATTTTAGCAAAATGTTTGCTAGTCTAAAAAATTGGTATATAAAGTCTTAAGAGAATTTCATACGGTCATATTCTAAATCAGCTTAACTGATAACTCAGTAGCTTTTGGTAAGAAAGTGATTGGTCTTCTAAAAATGCCTCCTCGTCAGTGATGCTCCACACATTACGATTATTGAAAAGTTATAAAAGAAAATGTGTAATATAAATACGTATCATCAGACTTTAATAAAATCTTAAACATTTTGATAGATAATATTGGATAGTTTTCAATTATGGGGACAATTGTTGCCTTTTTTTATAGCTCTTATTGTTGCAACATTATCAGTTCTCTATTAAAGATCAACAGGACAATCTCGCTCCGTCTCACACTCTTCGCCATTTTATGGTTTAGGACTTGCTACGGAAATACTGAAGATACGAATCAACCCTAGTGGAACGTGTTCACAAAGCGAACCACAAATCAGGCGTGTGATGTACCTACACGTGAGAAATAACGTGAAGCAGCACGAAATCCTCTTGCGAATTTCTGCTTTGGCCTCCATACTTTGCATATTTTTCGCTGTAACACAATCTGTACTATGCATTACAATGGCTTAGAGAATGACGAATCGCCAGTGACTAGTTCGAACTATTTCAGATATGTCTGGAGATAAAATAAATATTTTTGAACCTTCAATATGAGTTTACGCTCATCTTTAGTAAGTTTCGTAAAACGGCGATTTTGATCTCCATCTTTTACCCGAGATAATTAAAAATGGTGAGCTAATCTTCAATCAACTGCTATGAGCAGAAGCGATAATTGGCCTTCAAGAGAACAAGATCGACTCTAGGTGAAATCGTTTCTCATTCTTATGTTAATTGATAGGAGATATAATTCGTTTAGATTTCAAATATAGGAGTTTCGCAT